ATGGTGTTTCTGTACTGCTCTGCCTGCTAGCGATTTCATTTGCGTGCTTTCGGTTCAAATGCTTTAAGTAAGAGGTTTGAAGTTGAAGACCAGTCAACTTTTATTATGCTTTAGCAGATGTTTGCAGGAGGAGATTTTTTCGTCTTTTATTTTCTCAAAACAACCGCAAGCGTATGACTTTCTTTAAAACATCTTGATAAAACTGTGCTAATATTTTAATGACAAAGCCAAAGCTATTTAAACTCTTTTACTTCACATAATTCTTAGAGAGTTTCCGCTTCTCCGTTGGATTCTTAGAACTGCACACTAGTTGCTTCCATATATAAGGACATTGAAATTGAAACTATAGGCCTAGCCCTACCAGAGTGACCAATCGATTCTAGGAAACATTCTTATAACATACTCAAGTGTGGCCTTTTTGTGGTCTGCTGGTTTCCAGGGAAAGGAGGTACAAGTAGTGGTGGGCACCAGTCGATATTTGCAAATATCGAGTACTGTATCGACTAAGGCAGCTCAGTATCGATAAGTACTCAGTACTTCTCAAGGTTTGAACGAATGGGCGTAATTTAAATGCACTTGCATAGCGGTCACGAAGGGGAGTAGAAAACCCGGGTACCCGACACCAATACCCGGGTAGCCGGTTCTGTGTTCTTTAGCCATGTACCCGCGGTAACTACACGGGTCCTCACCCAGCCCTAGTACTGTACTTCTTACTTTTACTTTTTCAACCCCTGTTGCCGTTAAGCGTCGAGGGGAGATGTCGTTTTCTATGGAAGGACAACCCCGCATCTCTTTCAGTTGTGATATTAAGTTTTCTTAGGGTTTCCTTGACATCTTCGATCCACCTTTTGCGTGGCCTTCCTCTTCCTTTATAGCCTGAGTGCTTGGTGGTGTAGGCTGTGGAGGCTGGCTGGCTAGGTGACATGGAGGCATGCCAATTAGTCACAGGCTCAGTTAGTCACAGGTCCACTTAGTCACAGGTCCAGTTAGTAACAGGCCCAGTTAGTCACAGGTCCAGTTAGTCACAGGTCCAGTTAGTAACAGGTCCAGTTAGTAACAGGTCCAGTTAGTAACAGGTCCAGTTAGTAACAGGTCCAGTTAGTCACAGGTCCAGTTAGTCACAGGCCCTAATTCAGTTTGTGTTGTTCAATATTTCTTCCTTTTTCTATGCAAATCAAAACAAATTTAAATTACTCTGTAAAATTTCAACAATGAATGTTCTTTCATTAAAGAAAAATTGGAAAAAAAATCAATTCGTACTGGGCCTCTGACAAACTGAGCAGTCCCCGGTGACATAAGTAACAGGTGGCCAAACTTGTACCCACCTGCATAGAGCAGCAGTCTGGAGCAGTCCGTCCTACCCTGTATGGCAGACTTCATGAGAGCTGTCATCCCCAGACGGTTGGGCTGGTCGATCCTGATGCCCTTAAACTCTGACAGCAGCAGCCGGACGGCGTCAGTGAAACCTAATGACAGATACGCGTTGTCAGTGACAATGACAATGACAGTGAGAATGGCAATGACGACAACAAAGACAATGACAATGACAGTGACAATGACAATGACAGTGACAATAACTATGACTAACGGTCTATCCTGATACCCTTTAAAACTGACAGTAGCAGCTGGACGGCGTCAGTAACAGATACGGGTGTCAGTGACAATGACAGTGACAGTGACAATAACTATGACAAAAGACAATGACAATGGCAGTGACAATGACTATGGCGGGCGTTAGGCTGGTCTATCCTGATTCCCTTAAACTCTGACAGTAGCAGCCGGACGGCACCAGTGAATCCTGGTGACAGATGCGGGTTGTCAGTGACAAGGACAATGAGAGTGACAGTGACAATGACAACAGCAATGACAATGACAATGACAGTTAAAATGACAGCGACAATGACAGTGACAATAATAATGAAAATGACAGTGACACTGACAAAGATAGTGACAATAATAATAACTATGACAATGACAATGACAATGACAGTGGCAATAATTATGACAGACGGTTGGGCTGGTCTATCCTGATGCCCTTAAACTCTTTCAAAGTTTAGTTTTAGTAAGTGTTTAACGGCACTTGCAATTGCATAAGGTCATATGAGCGTGTGGGATGCATTAAACATTTACAGTTGGTAGGAAATTCTGAATCTTGCCTAGGTGGCGACCGAAGTCTATTCTTTTCAATTTTGGACCACCAAGGGATCTTTAACATGTGAAACTTGCACACAAGACCTCCGGGGTTTTCGCACTTGTCCAAGAAGGCTATAGGTGTAGATCTTTCCTACCAGAAGATAAGGGGCGTGGCTGAAAGACAGCAGTAAGAAGGAGACATTGAGTAGCAGTAGAAAGGCTGCAGAAAGAGCCAGGAGCCCAGAGGAGTGGGCAAAGGAAGTGAGGGGGTGGGGGCAGAAATTGGAAATGAAAGCAGGCGTCAGAGCATTGCTTGAGAGCAGGAAAGGAGGCGATTTAGAAAATAAGAATTTCCGTCGCTATCCGAATTCGAACCCAGGACCTATTGAATGAGAGGTGAACATCTCTAGGCCACGATAGCCCCCGCAGATCGGCTAAAAAAACAGAGACCTGACTCTGTTGCACCATAAATCTGTCGGCCACACACACAAACACACACATACACACAAATACACACACACACCATACACACACCTACACACACATACACACATACACACATACACACATACACACACGTACAGACATACACACATACACACATACACACGCATACACACATACGCACACATACACACACATACACACACATACACA